TTGGTCTATTCAGGTTTTAGATTTCTTCATGGTCAGTCTTGGCAGGTTGTGTCTAGGAATGTATCCATTTGTGTTTTCCTATAGTCTTAGTGATCTTAATTTCTGCAGTATCAGTTGTAATGTCTCCTTTTACATGTCTTATTTTATTTATTCTGGTCTTCCTTCTTTTTTCTTGGGTCATTCTGGCTAAAAGTTTGTTTATTTTGTTTATCTTTTCAAAAGAAACAACTTTCATCTCATTGATCAAGACTCAATTTCATTTATTCCTGCTCTGATCTTTATTATTTACTTCTAATAATTTGGGGTTTAGTTTTTGTATTGCTTTTCCAGATCCTTAAGATGCAAAATTAAGTTGTTTATCTGAAGTTTTTCTACTTTTTGATGTAGACATCTATTGCCAGAAACTTTCCTTTTAGAACTGCTTTTGCTGTATCTTGTTGTTAAAGTTGCCCTGTATGCTCCAGCTGACAGACTAAATGACTCTCCATGGCTGAGTTGAATTAAATCAGAACCAGGCAGTCATGGTAGGGTGAGGAAATGATTGTGTACTCTGTGTTCTCAGAAAATTTATAAACGTACCACAGTTCTTCCCTACTACAAACAAGCCAAACCAGCTCCTGTTATCAATGCCAAGATAAATGGTGGCCAGAAACTCTCCCCCATCCTATCAGCTATTTGAAAGAAACTGACAGAGACTTCATGTCTGGACTTGGAAACTAGCCTATCAGGCTCACCTGCCCTAGCCAAGCTGAGCTCGGTGACATCAACCAATCAGAATTAAGTGTGAATTCCTTATTTGAATAAACTGGGCAGGAACTTTCACTTGTTCTCTGGAATGCATCTTTCTTTTATACCAAAGGCTGCATCTCCAGGTTTGCTAACTGTTCACTGAAATAATGTCTCTCTTCCAAATTTCTTTTCATAAAACATTTTTTCACACCATAGGTTTTGGGATATTGTTTCCATTTTCCTTTGTTTCAAAAAATGTAACTTCCTTCTTAATTTCTTTACTGACCAAACATCACTCAGGAGTACATTATTTAATTTCTATGTGTTTGTATAGTTTCCAAAGTTCTTCTTGTTACTGATTTGCAGTTTTATTCCATTATGGTCAGAAAAGATAAGTGAAATGATTTCAATTTTTTATGAAGATTTTGAGACTTGTTTTGTGGCCTAACACATGGCCTATCCTTGAGAATGTCCCATGTACAAGAAAGAATGTGTATTCTGCAGCTGTTGGATGAAATGCTCCATAAATGTCTATTATGTATAAGTTCATTTTGTATTGTTATAAAGGGATTCCTGAGGCTAGGAAATTTTTTTTTTTTAAAGTGGTTTATTGTGGCACACAGTATCGGTGTCTGCCTCTTTGGCATGAAGCTCAAATCATGGTAGAAGGTAAAGGGGAACAGGCACGTCACGTGGCACAAGGAGGAGCAAAAGATAGAAGATGAGGTGCCAGGCTCTTTAACAATCAGATCTTGTGTTAAGAGAACAAGAAGTGACTCATTACACTAGGGAAGATACCAAGCATTCATGACAGATCCATCACCATGACTCAAACATCTCCCACTAAGCCCCACATCCAACACTGAGGACTTACATGAGATTTGGAGGGGACAAGTATCCAAACTATGTCAGTCTATTAGGTCCAATTGGACTAAAGTTCAGATTAAATCTGAAGCTTGTTGATTTTTCTGTCTAGATGGTTTATCCAATGCTGGAAGTGGGATGTTAAAATCCCAAGTTATTTTTGTATTAGGATCAATCTCTTCTTTGGCTCTAATAATGTTTGCTTTATATATCTGGGTGCTCCAGTGTTAAATGCATAGACATTTACAACTGTTATATCCTCTTGCTGAATTGATTTCTTTATGATTATATATAATGACCTGTCCTTTATAGTTTTTGTCCTGAAATGTATTTTATCTGATATAAATATAGCTGCCCCAGCTCTTTTTTGTTTTCTATTTGCATGGAATATCTTTTTCTTATTCTTTTTTTTTTTGAGTAGGAGTCTTACTATGTTGCCCAGGCTGGAGTGCAGCGGCATGCTCATGGTCATCCCAGTATAGACCTGCTGGGCTCAGGCAATCCTTTCGCCTCAGTCTTCCAAGTGGCTGGAACTACAGACAGGTGCTACCACTCCTGGCTAACTTTTGATTTATTGTACAGATGAGGTCTCATTAAGTTACCCAGGCTGGTCTCGAACCTGAGGGCTCAAGCAACCTACTTGCCTTGGCCTCCCAAAGTGCTGGGATTACAGGTTGAGCCACCAAGCCTGGTCTCTTTCTCCATCTCTTTATTTTTTAGCGTATGTGTGTCTTTGTAGGTAAAGTGAGTTTCTTATAGGCAGCATATAATTGAGTCTTGGTTTTTAAAAATCTATTTAGCCAGTCTATATCTTTTAAGTAGGAAATCTAATCTGTTTACATAAGGGGTTATGAGGACTTATTCCTGTCACTCTGCTATTTGTTTACTGGTTGTTTTGTTGGTCTTCCCTCCCTCCCTCCCAGTCTTCCTGTCTTCCTTCATGTAAAAATGATTTTCTCGTGTAGTATGTTTTAATTTCTTGCTTTTTATTTTATGTGTATCTGTGTTTGTTTTGTGGTTACCATGAGGCTTATAAATAACATCTTACAACCAATTATTATAAACTGATGACAATGTAACACGATTACAAAGAAAAAACACACAAAGAGAAAACTAAAAAACTCTATACTTTAACTCCATTGCCCCCGCTTTCTTACTTTGTCTCTACTTTTACCTTTTCATAGTATCTATTTCGTAAAAAGTTGTAGTAGTTACTATTTTAGATAGATTTGTCTTTTTGCCTTCCTACTAATAAGATGTTCACATACCACAACCACATTCTGTATCTGTGTACTGACTATTACCAGTGAGTTTTATGTTAAAGTCATTTTCTTTCAGAGTGAAGAACTCCCTTTACTATTTCTTCCAAGAGGTGTGGCATTGATAAAAATCCCTCAGCCTTTGTTTGTCTGGAAAAGTCTATTTCCCCTTCGTGTTTAAAGCATAATTTTGTTGGCGATACTATTCTAGGTTGGAAGATTTTCTTTTTCATTCAGCACTTTGAATATGTCATCTCACTCTCTCCTGGCCTGTAAGGTTTCTGCTAAGAGTTCCTTTATGTTATTTGCTTTTCTCTTGCTGCTTTTAGGATCCTTTTTAAATTCTTCACCTTTGAGAGATGATTAATATATTCCTTGAGATAGTCTTGCTTGTGCTGAATCTGTGTAGTGTTCTATGACATTCTTATACCTAGAAATTCATCTCTCTCTCTATGTTTAGAAAGCTCACTTATTATTTCTTAGAATAAACTTTCTACTACAATTGCTCTACATCTTTTTAAAGCCAGTAACTCTTAGATTTGTCTTTTAGAAGTTATTCTTGAGATTTCTAGAAGTTATTCTTGAGATTTTATAGATGTGCTTCTTTCTTTTTTTCTCCTTTGACTGTGTATTTTCATATAGTCAGTCTTCAAGCTTATTAATGCTTTCTTCTGCTTTATCCATTCTCCTGTTGAAAGACTTAATACATTTTTCAGTATGTCAATTGAATTTTTCAGCTCCACAATTTCTTCTTGACTTTTAAAAAAATTATTTCAATTTCTTTACAATTCTCTGATAGCATTTTGAATTCCTTCTTTGTACTATGTTGAAGTTCATTGAGTTTCCTCAAGACAGCTATTTTAAATTCCCTGTCTGAGAAGTCACATATCTCTGTCACTCCAGGATTGGTCACCAGTACTTCATGAGGTCACGTTTTTCTGGATGTTCTTGATGCTTTTAGATGTTCATCAATGTCTTGATGTTTAAGAATTAGGTATTTATTCTAATCTTTGCAGTCTGGACTTGTTTGTACATATCCTTATTGAGAAGGCGTTCCACATATTCAAAGGGAATTGAGTCTTGTGATTTAAGGCTGTAGTCACTGCAACTGTATCAATATGAGGAGGTGCCCTAAGCCCAGGAATGTTATGTCACTTGTTGACTCCTAGAGGCACTGTCTCGATGAGCTAATTTTTTGGTTCTTTTGAGTGTGCTTTATTGTATGGATAATTGTTTAATTTAGTGTTACTACAAGAGGATGATCACCAAAGGGTTCTATTCAGCCACCATGTTCTTGCTTCCTCTCTCGATTTTAATTAAAGTTGCTTTGAGGTAAAACAGTCATCAAAATTCCCTAAAATATTAATTGTCATCAGAATATTAACCCTTAGGACAAACATTCATCTTGCACTTTAAATTATGTAAAGCTTACATGTTATGTTTTAGATAACCAGGAAAAAAGGAGCAAATGGCACTTAAAAATATTAAAAAATATTTACTAGAACAGTTGTCCCTTAGTAGGGACTGGACCCTAAACAGTCCCTTAGGGAACTGGTTTCAGAGACACCCTCCCCACCCTCACGTAAACCAAAATCCTCACATACTCAAGTCCTGCAGTCAGCTCTCAGGAACCATGAAAGCAAAAAGTCAGCCCTCAGTACATGTGGAACCTATGAATACTGTATTTTTGATTGGTTGAAAATAATCTAGTAAGTAGACCCACACAGTTCAAACCCAGCTGTTCAAGGGCCGACTGTAGTTCAAAAATCTTTGTTATTGTATTTAATTGTGGCATTATAGCACGAAGTTTCTAATACTTAATTTGGTAGTCACAGATGAATCACTTTTTTACCCCAATCAATATATATTTGCTAAGCATGTAATTTTAAAAGTCTAGTTTATGAACCTTAGTGATATGTTAAATGTAGACCAAAGAAAAGCATAATGAATAACTCTCAAATTATCAGTTAGCCCTTTAACTAACATCACATCTTAATTGAATATACTGCTTGCTTATTTAGATTATTTCAAAAACTGAACAGAATATGAAAAATTCTTTAAATTCCTTCCTTTTAATTATTGTAGGAAAGTGGCCCAAAAGTATGTAAAGTGGCAAAAGGCAGCTTGTCTAAAATCTCTTACTCTTACCTTTGGGATTATTTGGGTCACGGTTCAAAATTGCATAACGAGGAAGTAAAATACCTTCAGCTTGAAGAATACTATATACTTCTCTCCTAAGGAAAAAGGAAAACATCTTTATTGTTTCACTGCTCTTTTCCACAATGAATATGTTATTGTACTGTTCTTAAAGTACGTTATTACTGTTCTACAACTAAAAAGGGTATGTATATCAAACATTTTTATTTTTTAAATAGACAAATGTCATTTCAAATATCAAAAAATTGCATTCTAAGAAAATATTCAGCAATGATAAAAATGTATACAGAATTCTTTTTGTAGTTTATAAGATACTGATTTTAAAAACTAAGACTATAAATGCATTTTTAAAAATGGTTAAAGCTGATATATCATAATTACAGAAGTTTACCTAACCATTAGAAACTTTATGCTCAAATAGTATTTAATGACATGGAGAAATGTTTACAGTGTATTAGAGAAAAGATATTCTAATTTTGTAAAGTCTGAGTTTATGTATATACTACTTGCTGTATCAAATACATGGTAGATATAGTGAGATTAAGTGGCTTTCTTTATGCGTTTATTTTTTAAAATCTCTTAAACATAAATTTCTATATGTGTATCTATGTACATATAAGAAATACACATAATATGCATTATATAAAGCTAGGAAAAGTCTTCTAAACTTTAGATATCAATGTTATCTCTGAAAAAATATTAAAAAAAACAGAAAAGCAGAAAAACTAAAGGGTCTTATATTTATAAAGCATTTTAATTTACATAATCTCCTAATGTAAAAATAGAATGCTGACAAAATTATAGGAGTAGTTATTAGAATGAAACCAATTAAATGAAATACTCATTTTATCATTTCTTAGAAATCCATGTTTTTGATCTGTTAAATGAATATAGTAAAATATTTCTCAAAATGGGTATACTTTAAAGAATTAGTTATAAGAAGTTCTAATTTTATCAACAGTCACATGACAGAAAACTGTTTATAATTTTCAATGGTTTAGTAGGCTCTAGAAATTAAACAAATCTTCTCTAAGTTCTTGTCCCACTACTTAGGGAATTACTTGTGACTTTGGGCAAATTATTTAATCCTCCTGATTCTCAACTTTCCGCAACTGTAAAATGAGGTAATAAATACCTCTTTCTGAGTATATTCTGAATACACAATGAATTATGTATGTAAAAACACCTGATGTCATATCAGTTTATAGTAGACACTAAATAAATGTTAATTTTCCTTCCCTTAATTCAGCCAACTTCACCACTCACCTATCTTGTATGAGATACTGCATATTCAAGTCATTGATTACAAATGGATTCCTGAGTTTTGCATAGGCAACTGCTTTGTCCAGTGGAAATCCTAAGAACACATATTATTATCATATTCTGTACAATCTTAAGATAAGTTGACATCTATAACTTTATCAACTTCCTTTTATAGAAGATATGGAATAATATTTACATAAACCTTAATTTAATCTACATTATATTTTATTTCTTCCTAGTTAGTTTGATTGAAAAGGCACAGCAAGCCAGTGACTACACAATCAAATTTAGAGTACTGACATGCTAGTCAAAGCCTGACTAGTCAAAGTCACCCAAACGGAAAGTAGGTTTTACCTCATATACAAAGAGAAAACTGTATATAAGTGTATCATAATCATTTGGTGATTTTTTTAGAAACATATTTAACACTCTTCTTTCACTTAGATATTTTGATGCCTACACATGTAAATTAAATATTCAAATAACATATGCAACATTAAAAATACAGCAAAAGCAAAAACTAATTCATATACAACAGATATACTCAAAATATAAACTACATGAGTAGAATCATGCTGTTGCTGGGTCAATATTAAAATATCAGAAAATAATTTCCTAAAATTTTTAGACTTCAGTAAAAGTACTAATTACAATGAAAACAAATCAAATGGCAGAAATGGTAAGAGGCCTAAAAAAAAAAAAAATCTAAAAAATTTTAATATATTTTACTCTCTGTATTGATACTTAGCATCTCCAGTTTTATCCATCAATATATGTTATTGAAAGAGGCAGTTCAACATAAAGGTTAAGAACATAGCAAGTGTTCAAATCCTGGTTCCATCTTTCACTAGTAATACAGTCTTAAGCAAATTTATTTAACACATTTAAGCCTCTGACCCTAGCTTAAATGGGGATTATACCAGTCTTACCTAATAGTGTTTTTAAGGAATTAATTAGAGTGTATATAATACACTTAGAACAGTATCTGGCAATAAATGTTACTTGCTATTATTCCTTAAGCAACAATGTTTTAATAAATAGCTTATCTATGCAAAAGGGTAAAAATCAACAAGCATATGTAACTTTAGGATTTAAAGTTAGTAGAATCCTAAGTATACCTGTGAAGAGACTGTATTTTGCAGTATTACCAGAATAGTTAGCAAAGAAAGTATTAAAACATACTGAAGTTAAAACAAAACAAAAAGCTGTGGTCAGTTAAACAATATGCCTAATCTCCTCTAAGTTTTTAAAGTTTAAATAGCAATACATTATAACAAGAATCAGTTGGCCACAAATTACAAATGCTTCAAGTTTTATAAAGACTCTCAGAATTTATCACTTGTAAAGATGTCTCGATATGTATGATTTGAAACCTCTTAACAGATTTCAGTAAATAGAAAACACAGTCATTTCCTGCTTTTGCTGTTAAGGAGCAACTTTTTTCTAACCAAGAGATATGGGATATTTATTAGCTTAGTTATAGCACCTAGTTTTTAATAGGCAAATAGCTTTTACAGGAAGAACTAGGTGTTGGTAAGGGAAGAACACCCTACCCTAAAGAATAAGGAAACTTTAAGGTTCTCTTAAAATGTGCGGCCTGCTGGGCATGGTGGCTCAAGCCTGTAATCCCAACACTTTGGGAGGTGAAGGTGAGAGGACTGCCTGAGTCCAGGAGTTCGAGACCAACCTGGGCAACCTGGTGATACCTTGTCTCTACAATAAATAGAAAAAAATTAGCTGGGCATGGTGGTGTGTGCCTGTAGTACCAGTTACTTAGAAAGCTGAAGCGGAAGGATCGCCTGAGCCCCGCAGGTTGAGACTGCAGTGGCCCTGAGTGTGCCACTGCACTCCAGCCTGGGTGACAGAGTGAGAGTCTGCCTCAAAAAAATAAAATAAATAAAATAAAATAAACAGCCTGAGTCTGCAAAGCCTAGGATCTTGACTTCTCTATGATATAATGAAAATCAATTTAAACTATGGTAGCACAAAAAGTCTCAACCAAGCCCTATCTTCCTCTTGTTGAAGTGAGACTTTATCACAGCTCAGGACAACATATTTTGGTAACAAGTGATGACTAAATATGAGTACATTTGCAACTCAGAGCACATTTTTTCAATCAGTCCTCAGTGGGAAATCCACTAGCTTCACAGATTCTTAGGTTATAAGTTTTCAGCTATAAGCCTAGCAATAAGTTTAATTAGTAGAGTTTACTATGCTGTAATACTTAAGCTTAAGTGATATTTCAGTTTGATTAATAAAAGATAGCAGGAAAGATCTTAAAATCTCAATATTAAGTTCTTAAAAAATAAAGTACAAATATTCATATGATGAATGATAGATCATTTTCTATGTGGCACAAAAAAGGACTTAAAATATTTAATAATTCATCGATTTATCATAAGAAATTTACAAATACAAACAAAGCTATACATTCAAAAAGTTCATCACAAATTTTTAACATAGTGAAAACTGGAAACCATTCAAATGTTAGGATATTTGTTAAATGTGTTATGGTACCTCGACACAATGATATCCTATGCTGCCATTAAAAACTAAGTTATGAAAGAATGACATGGCAGGAGAAAAAACCTCTTGGCATAATAGTGAAGAGTTAAATGTTAAGTTATACATACACTATGATACTCATTTATTTAAAACACACACAGAAGACTAGAAATATATCAAAATATTAACATTATCCATGAGTAAGTTTTAATTTTCTGGTTTATCCAACACTATATAGTTAATAAATATGAGTTTTATAATCAGAGAACATAAAGAAGATTCTTCCCCCCTTCTTTAATACCTTTAGAATGGAAAGAAATAAGACAATCACATAAAGGCCAGTTTTCTACTGGTTCATTCAAAATAACTTCCTCTTCAAATACTACTACTGTAATATATTTAAATAAGGAGATCCGTTCAAGAATTTCCTTCATTGGTTTGGATTTGGATTTCTTTGCCATGGAACATATTCCAACCACAATCTGCCTTTCTGGTGGCTAAAACAAGTGAAACAAAAAATCAAGTTAGCATAAATTCCAAAGCATAGTTGTCTTATTTTTTTTCAGAAGTAGATGAGGTATGTAGTAAATCAATAAAAGCGACATATTAACCAACAAAGGAGTTTTCAAATATAATATCATTGTTGTAATAATAAATAAAAAAATTAAAGAATTGTTTCCTACAAAAGTCTGGAAAAAAATTTAAAAACAAAAACACTGAATTGCCTGAGCCCGCGGGTTCGAGACCCGCCTGGGTAGCGAGACCTCATCTCTACAATAAATCAAAAAAATCAGCTGGGCGTGGTGGTGCATGCCTGTAATTCCGGCTACTCGGAAGGCTGAGGTGGAAGGATCGCCGGAGCCCAGCAGGCCGAGGCTGCGGTGGCCGGGAGCGGCCACTGCACTCCAGTCTGGGCGACAGAGTGAGACTCCAACTCAAAAAAAAAAAAAAAAACAAAAACACTTTCAGAACAAACACTGTTACTATCTTCAATCAAATGTAAAACTTAAACAAATATCCCCTTTTTAACTGCCTCTAGCATTTATTTATCCTCCATACACCCAAAAATGACAAAAAGGGTCAAAACCACCTAATCCATATAAAAAGACCAATAGGTGAGATAAAGACTCTGCCTAAAGTAAGATGTAACTCCAACTATAAAGCTACAGTATTAAATTATTTTTATAGATTGAGCCTGAATATTAGTTGGTCACAAATGACAATTTGGAAGGAAATTTTAAAGAAAGCCACACTGCTAACAGAGGTGTCAAGATTCTTTGACAATGTAATCTTTGTACTCAATATTCCTATCTAATGTGGTACTGATCTCTAGCATCCTCATAACAGCTCAAAGGCCATGATTTGGTCCAAAACTTTAATAGCAGGATATAGAAACTGTAACTTGAGAATAGTTCATAGATTAATAATATTACTCAAGATTCATTCTGGGATCTTTGCATTTAGAAGCTTAAGAGCTATGTTAAACATATAAAATAGTGTCCAGTTTTTCATTTCAATTCTTCTCTCTTCATGGTATTTCATGTAACATTATAATCTGAGCTCAAAAATGGTTTGCTAGACTTTCTCTTACTATAATCGAAAAATAAAATTGTATGACATCAGAATTGTTCATTTTTCATGCCAAGAACAATATTTTGTGGTGCCTCTTCAAACTCATTACATTTAGAGTTTAAATCAGTATTCAATTTAATTGTAAATCAAATAGATTATAAATTCTAACCTTCCTGGGATCTGCTGCATTTCTCTGCTTATCCACTTTTGTTCCCTTACTCAATTCTTTCCTGAGCCTTGAGATAGCTCATTATTATGTTCTCAAAGTTGATTTCATCAGACAAAAAAATAAATAAATACTCTACCTAAGATTTAACACTCATTTATAATTTTTAAGAATTGCTAATATGGTAATCCCAAGCCTTTGGGAGGCTAAGGTGAGTGGATTGCCTGAGCCCATGGGTTCGAGACCCGCCTGGGCAGGCGAGACCTCATCTCTACAAGAAATCAAAAGGGCGTGGTAGAGCGCGCCTATAGTTCCTGCTACTTGGAAGGCTGAGGCGGAAGGATCGCCGGAGCCCAGTAGGTCGAGCCTGCGGTGGCGGGGAGTGGCCACTGCACTCCAGTCTGGGCCACAGAGTGAGACTCCAACTCAAAAAAAAACAAAAAACAATTGCTAATATGTAAAGTTCTGTTTATTCATCATAGATCTAGTTAATGAATATCTGCTCACTGGCTAAGATGAAGGGAAACATTCAAGTTTAAAATGTACAGATAAAGCCACATTCTTAAGACAAAATTACAGAATTTTCTTATTAGGTGAAGCCTTAAACGCCAAAAAAAAGGCCAGGCTGGGTGGCTCAGCCTGTAATCCCAGTGCTTTGGGAGACCAAGGTGAGCGCATTCCCTCAACCCGCGGTTTCAAGACCCACCCGGGCACTTGGGGAGACGTCATCTCCACAATAAAATAAAAAGTTAGCCGGGCGTGGTAGCGCGCGCCTGTAGTTCCAGCTACTTGGAAGGCTGAGGCGGAAGGATCGCCGGAGCCCAGCAAGTCGAGGCTGTGGTTTGTGGTGACTGGGAGCCTGCCACCGCACTCCAGTCTGGGCGATGGAGTGAGGCTCCAACTCCAAAAAAAAAAAAAAAAAAAGCAAAAAAACCCACCTTTTTCTTTTTTTAAATCAGATTTGAATTATTTTGTTAGATTTATGTCCAAAAGAAAACTAAAATTCACATCTTTTAAATCTCAAAAACAGTAGAATGAAGTGGAATAAATCATTTTATAAAACTAGAACAAGCAAACCAAATCAGGCTCATCAAAGGTGATACCTGTACATCTTAAATGGAAGCTCATTTTATTTAGCACCAATATTCCAAGAACTATACTAAGTGCTGAAGATTAGAAACTACCTGTCCTCAAAGCACTTTGAGTCTTATAGGAAACAGAATAATAAAATATACTGTGATACACAGAATAGAAATACAGTTAGCTCTTCGTATCCATGGGTTCTGCATTAATGAATTTAACAGAATATTGAATATATTTGAGGAAAAAATACCATCTGTTCTGAACATGTAGACTATTTTTCTTACTATTGTTTCCTAAACAATACAGTCTAACAACTTTTTACATAGCATTTACATTGTATTAGGTATTATAAATAATCTAGAAATGATCTAAAGTATACAAGAGGATATGTGTAGATCATATGCAAATACTATACCATTTTATAGAGAGGGCTTGAGTGCCTTCAGGTTTTCATATCCACAGAGAGTACTAGAAACAATACCCCATGGATACTGAGGGACAACTCTATTTATGCCAAGGTACAAGCACAGTACTGAAGAAGTGTTCAAGCTTTTCATGGGGAAAGATCAAGAATAGAAACAGTGAAAGATAGGAAATCTGAGCAAAGTTTTAAAGAACGAAAAATAATTCATGAGGTACCCCAAAATAAGGGCATTTCAGATAGATAAAGGAAGACACACAACATCAAAGAGGCATGGTACAGCCTGGAATAAGCAGAAATAAAAATTCTGATGTTACTAAAACATAAAAGGTAGTGGATGGGAGACAAGTATGAATGTAGATATAAATGCGCAATAAAAGTCCTTATATGTAAGATGACTAGACTTGATTTACCAGGTGTTCACATTGTGTTCAGAAAGAATAAAGGAGTAGAAGCTGAGTCAATAGTGCTTTCTTTCTTTCTTTTTTGAGTTGGAGTCTCACTCTGTCCCCAGACTGGAGTGCAGTGGCTGCTCCCGGCCACCGCAGCCTCGACCTGCTGGGCTCCGGCGATCCTTCCGCCTCAGCCTTCCAAGTAGCTGGAACTACAGGCGCGCGCTACCACGCCCGGCTAATTTTTTGATTTCTTGTAGAGATAAGGTCTCGCCTGCCCAGGCGGGTCTTGAACCCGCGGGCTCAGGCAATCCACTCACCTCAACCTCCCAAAGGCGCGGGATTACGAGCCCGGCTAATAGTGCTTTCTAGTTTAAATGAGCTAGAGAAGTTCTGCTTTCATGTATTATTCACAGGACTTCTAGATAAGACTTCAGATGAAGAGAAGTTTAAACTGGTAAAAGACCTCAACCTCCCAAAGGCGCGGGATTACGAGCCCGGCTAATAGTGCTTTCTAGTTTAAATGAGCTAGAGAAGTTCTGCTTTCATGTATTATTCACAGGACTTCTAGATAAGACTTCAGATGAAGAGAAGTTTAAACTGGTAAAAGACCTCAACCTCCCAAAGGCGCGGGATTACGAGCCCGGCTAATAGTGCTTTCTAGTTTAAATGAGCTAGAGAAGTTCTGCTTTCATGTATTATTCACAGGACTTCTAGATAAGACTTCAGATGAAGAGAAGTTTAAACTGGTAAAAGACCTCAACCTCCCAAAGGCGCGGGATTACGAGCCCGGCTAATAGTGCTTTCTAGTTTAAATGAGCTAGAGAAGTTCTGCTTTCATGTATTATTCACAGGACTTCTAGATAAGACTTCAGATGAAGAGAAGTTTAAACTGGTAAAAGACCTCAACCTCCCAAAGGCGCGGGATTACGAGCCCGGCTAATAGTGCTTTCTAGTTTAAATGAGCTAGAGAAGTTCTGCTTTCATGTATTATTCACAGGACTTCTAGATAAGACTTCAGATGAAGAGAAGTTTAAACTGGTAAAAGACCTCAACCTCCCAAAGGCGCGGGATTACGAGCCCGGCTAATAGTGCTTTCTAGTTTAAATGAGCTAGAGAAGTTCTGCTTTCATGTATTATTCACAGGACTTCTAGATAAGACTTCAGATGAAGAGAAGTTTAAACTGGTAAAAGACCTCAACCTCCCAAAGGCGCGGGATTACGAGCCCGGCTAATAGTGCTTTCTAGTTTAAATGAGCTAGAGAAGTTCTGCTTTCATGTATTATTCACAGGACTTCTAGATAAGACTTCAGATGAAGAGAAGTTTAAACTGGTAAAAGACCTCAACCTCCCAAAGGCGCGGGATTACGAGCCCGGCTAATAGTGCTTTCTAGTTTAAATGAGCTAGAGAAGTTCTGCTTTCATGTATTATTCACAGGACTTCTAGATAAGACTTCAGATGAAGAGAAGTTTAAACTGGTAAAAGAAGCCTGAAAATCATTTATTCTGCACTGAAAGTTTTAAATTTTCATGTAGGTATGTTTATTTTCAGACATGTTTAACTCCACTGTGAAATCTGCATTTCAGATATGTATAATTCTACTGTTAAAAATACTGTTATTATGAAAAAGGGTTTAAAGAAAAATAGCTATTTTTTGGTTTGTTTTTACTAGTTTTACCAAGTAGAACAGTTTTTCTTTTAAAACAAAATTCTTTTTCCAATTTGAAATATATGAAAAACGCATATTACACCTGTATTTTAAATAAGTTCTCAAAGCAAAGCAATCTCTACTTTTAAAAACATCAATAGCACACATAGACACTTGAGGTAGCAACCTCTACTTTTAAAAACATCAGTGGCACATACAGATACTTGAAGTAGCCTCCTTTTCTAGCTAATCCATTTCCAGACTTCTGAATAGTTAATAAATAGGGATATCTTCAGGTCAACCAGCATTTGCATTGGCAAATGAGTAAGTTTATTGGCAAATAAACTTAATGAATCTGGTCTAGCTCCTTCTTTAGTAACTTTAAAATTATTTATTTTACTTGTTTTCTTTGATGTATTTGTTATGTATTTCTACATATATATAAGAAACCTTTTGATTTGTGGCCCAGATACGTTTCTCCTTGGCACTCTTAGTACTTTACCCTGAGTTTGCTATGCATATCACTGATAGGCATCATAAAACTTAGTTCTTGAGTCACCATAGATTCAATAACATCCTTAACTGTAGTTCTTGATTCACCATAGATTCAATAACATCACTCATGAAACAAAATCTACTTTTTTAGTTTAAAAAAATTCCGACAAATTTGTATGTAAAAAAAAAAAACCCTTAAGATTAATTCACGTTAACAATAATTAGTAAAAAGCCTATCTTGTATTGGTCTTCTCTCACCAAAGGAAAAAAACAAACAACTTACAGATTCATCCTCCTCCTCTTCATCTTCATCTGCATGGTGGAAAAAATGTCGATAATTTCCAGGGTTTATTTCTGTATCTTCAGGCCCAACAAAGAATCTCGGGGCATCACTCATCTTTATTTCATTTGATATAGATACAATTTAAATGATCTATGTTAAAATTGCTTCTAAATAAACAGCATCAGAAAAAACCATTCTCCCTTTACTAGCTGACACCTAGTCTGTTACAGCTTATTACAGCTTATACAATCACTTGAAATTGTGATGACGGTTTGTTGGCAAACACTCTTCCGTTCTCAGATATCATTCTTCATTGTTGATATCAAAATTGTTCCTGCAGATTAAAACACAAAGACAGCGAGGCTATTGCTTCCCTGAGTTGATACAGCAATCTTTTTACCTAAAGTGTAATGAAAAGATTAATTTTGGAGAGTGTATTTCAAAAACATTCAGGTAAAAAAATTTTAAATGACACTTTAAAAATCAGCGACAATAACCTGATGTATACTGTTAAAATGAAAATACATTTTCTTACATAAAAATTAAGAAATTAAGACTTTGCCCTGTAGTAATCAAAGTCTTAGCAAATCAAATTTTTATGAAACCTTAGCAACTTGGCAAACTGACATGAAAAAACAGGAAGGCTACACACTAAATTTCTCAAGTCCAAAAATATCTAAAAAATTAAAAGAAAACTATTCAATTTACAATGAAATTACATTAAAAGCTAGCTCAGCACATAGTTTAAGAATATCTGAATGCAATGGAAAAGAATAGATGAAATATAATGTGTGTTTAAAGACCACTGACAATTTAACATTAATCTGAAATTACATAAAATCAATTTGTAAAAGTTCAGTTTGCAAACATTTGTCAGAACATAACCATTTCACATCCTGGTCAAATATATAAATAAACAACAAAATAAAGATTAGCATCAAAACAAGATTTCATTCTAACAGCAGCTCTTAAACTTGTAGAAGTAAAAAACTCTTTAGCAAATCTAATAACATCTACAAATCTTCTCCCTAGGAAAAAGTACATGTGTACTATACTCTGCAAGCAATTTTATGTGATTCACTGATACTCAAACTCTTCCTCACAATCAGGCATCCATGAACTGCCATGTAAGAATAATATAATCTCAAAATATTCCTTACCACAGCTGTTTACATGTATTTGTTCCTGTCATATTTAAACCTATTACTTACCAACATAAAACTACATAACAAATGCTTCAATTAATTACTGGCATAAGAAAGCATTTTCCAGCCTGGGCACATTTCTACACACACAAAAATTATCTGGGCATGGTGCTGCACATCAGTAGTTCCAGCTATTCAGGAGGCTGAGGCAGAAAGATTGCTTAAGCCCGGGAATTCAAGGCTGCAGTGAGCTGTGATCATGCCACTGCACAGTAAGTAGCCCAGGCAACAGAGTGAGACCCCCAACTCAAAAAAAAGTATTTGATCAAATGTTCTTAAGAGTTGAACAATATCCTAGATAGAATTAAAAGTGTAACTCTAGAAGTTTCTATTCCTAAAGATCTAATTCCAGGTAACTGGTGGCTCCCTAGTTAACATTAAAATAAGTTTACCCAGTTAACCTTGATTTTATACATCTGTAAATTACTGTGTAAAAAAATTTAAAACAATATGTGAGTAAAAAATGAAAGCAGAAAAAATTGACTTTACAAACTAATGCCTTTTGATCCTTTTCCCTCTGCATGGTTTAACATCTAAAAAATGCTGAAAAAGAAAAAGTTTTCAATTGCTGCAAGTCTTAATGGCAGTGGATAAGTTGATTTCAGTTATTTTGTATCAAATGACAAACATTTTTTGGCTTCTTTTTACTTTTTTACTCTTTCCATCTAAGCTTTCTTTTTACTTTTTTGCTCTTCCCATCTAAAAACAGCTAAAATATTTCAACAGTGGAAAGAGAATGTGTTTTTGAGTGAGATATACCTGTTTTAGTGCCACTACTTAACTAACAACTTATGCTACTTTCTGTGATCTATAAAAAAGGAGGTATGGTAAACCCCTGTAACTCTGTGACGATTAAGTGTATACTTGGCATATATTAAACACTCAATAAATTTTACTTTCTTTTCTATTCTTTTTTTTTCTGAGTCAGAGTCTCACTCTGCTGCTCAGGCTGGAGTACAGTGGCTCCATCATTGCTCACCACAGCCTTGACCTCCTGGGACTGGGCGATCATTCTGTCTCAACCTCCCAAGTAACTGGGACTACAGTTGTGCACCACCAGACCTGGCTAATTTTTTTATTTTTTGTAGAGACAAAATCTTGCTATGCTGCTTCGGCTGGTCTCAAACTCCTTGGATCAAGCAATCCTCTCACCTTAGCCTCCCAAAGTGCTGAGATCACAGGCATAAGTCACTGCTACTGGCAATAAACCTTAAATTTGTATAATCATTCCTATAAGCCAAGCTCCCTACTAACATACATGCAAATCGAAAAGAATAAATATTGTTCATTATTCGGTGAAATGAATATATTTACTCAACAGATACTATTTACCTATTACAGAAAGCACCGTGTTAGGAGCTAGCTTAGGTCTGAAGCCATGTCTCATTCATTCACTTGGAGAGAGGCAATAGATAAATTAACAGATAAATAGAAAGACCTCTCTATAAGGTGACATTTGAGGAGAAATCTAAATTAAATAAGGAAACCAGTCATGGGGTTACATGGTGAGAGCAAAGGAAAAAAGGTAGAAAAAAAGTCAGAGAAGTCACTAAGATGCATACAGAGGATTGAAAAGTCATGATAAGAACTTCCAATTTTGGCTGGGCTCGGTGGCTCAGCCTGTCATCCCAGTACTTTGGGAGCCGAGGTGAGTGGAATGCCTGAGCCCGCAGGTTCGAGACAGCCTGGGCAACTTGGCGAGTCCTCATCTCTACAATAAGATAAAAAACAGCCAGGTGTGGTAGCGTGTATCTGTAGTTCTAGCTACTCGGAAGGCTGAGGCAGAAGGATCACCGGAGCCCAGCAGGTCGACGTTGGGGTGGCCATGAGGGTGTGTGCCACTGCACTCCAGTCTTGGAGAAGGAGTAAGACTCCAACTCAAAAAAAAAAAAGAATTTCCGATTTCCTTTTTTTTTTTTTT